CAACTTCTCACCTTTGAAATGAATAAATAATTGAAGTTTCAGGTTGCTTAGACTCCAAAACATCTGGACATCAGATAGAAGTTGGAATGAACTGTATGGTTTTAAGTGAAGTTATTATGAGATGTGTCACTTGCACACACATCCACAGCCCATCATGAATTATCCAGGACCAGGAGCAACCCTTCAGCACTGAGCAGCATGACTCTCGAGGTGTTTAAGTCATGCTAAAAGGGATTAGTTTTACAAGCATACATTACAAGGACATACTTGCAAGAAAGAGGGCAAAAACTGGCAGCTTGTACATCTTGATTAGTTGCACTCACACCCACTTTCACCTTCTTGCTTCTAAGCTCACCACAGCTCTCTCCTCTGCTGTTCAACAATGCTGGCACTGAATTCAATATTCCAGTCAATTAAAAAAAACATTTACCCACCTACAGCTTCAGCTGGAGATCTCAAGAGCACTTTGCTAAGATGAATACTGACCTGCTCAGTGTTACGCAGGTTAAACACCGTTTTATAGGCACACAGCTCAGCCCTGTTTACATGAAAAATTCAACTGACCTTTGTGGCTCTGTAAAGCTACACTGCTAGTGCAGCCCTTGTGCAGACCATTTATTTAAGTGGATCTTCTGTGCTCAGGTTGTATCAACCAGAGAAAGATATAGAAAAATAATCTCCCCCCTAGAGCCTTAGATCTGCATAGATATCACTTCTATAAGTGCTCAGAATAAAGTGAATGAAAACTCTGAGCCCTAGGGGAAGTGGGAACAGCAGTGGAAGGCGGAGCAAGGAAAACCACACAAGCCATCAAGGCCACACGTTCCTGATAGCACTGACCCTTACTGACTGAAATGGAAAGCCACAAATGCAGTATTTCCCTGAATTTCCTCTTGACCTGCTGAGCAATGGCAGAACTGTGGGGCCTACAATCTCCCTCAGTTCCTTCAGTTAACCTCCAGGAAAAAAAAAAGTTGGTTTTTTTTTTTTATTTCTCCTGACCCTCAGCATGTACCCACCCACCAAGCTCATTAGTTTCAGCCTGTTCTTTAAACTAGCTATTGAAGGCTACTTTAGAACAGGGTGCACCAACGGTGCCTCTTCTACCCTAATTTGCACCAAAATCTCATTTGCTCCACATCAACTCCTCATTTGCTCAACATCAGCTCCACACAGAAGTTCTTCTTAAGCATATACAGTCATATGCAGATCTTTTCCATAATAGGGCACTGATTGCTGAGAAACTGGGTGTTCTTTGGGAAGAACAGCACACCACAAGCTGAGATCTCACATTACACCCAGTGCAATCCTACCTGCCCTACTGGTGCCAGCTCCGTGTCTGCTTTGCTCTCAAGCCCCTCACTGCCAGGAGTTTCACTCATCCTGGGCTGGAACATCAACACTCCCCAGTCCTTGTGCCACTCCATGCCCTAAAACAGAGCTGCCAGAGAACCAGCTGCTCTCCAGCTTGGCTTCATGGGCACTGTTCCACTCTGCCTTGCTAATGGTTATTCCTTTAGATACATGGCCTCATGTTTGCTTTTTCCATCCCTGAGCTTATCAGAGAATGGTTTGGGTGGGAAGGGATCTTAAAGCTCATCTCATCCCACCCGTGCCACGGGCAAGACACTTTCACCAGCCCAATTTGCTCCAAGCCCCATCCAGCCTGTCCTTGGACACTTCCAGTGATCCAGGGGCAGCCCCAGCTGCTCTGGGCACCCTGTGCCAGGGCCTGCCCACCCTCACAGCCAAGAATTTTTCCCAATATCCCATCTAATCCCATCTGCCCTCTGGCAGTGGAAGCAATTCCCTGGGTCCTGTTCCTCCATCCCTTGGGAATTGTCTCTCTCCATATTTCCTGCAGGCCCTGCAAGGCCACACTGAGCTCACCCCAAAGCTTCTCCTCTGCAGCCATCCCTCTGCTCATCCTGGAGCCTCCTCTGGCCTGGCTCCAGCAGCTCCAGGTGCTCCCTGTGCTGGGCCCGGGGCTGGGGCAGCTCTGCAGGTGGGGTCTCACCTGAAGAGGTGAAGAATCCCTGCCCTCCATCTGCTGCTCACAGTGCTTTCGATAAACCCAGGATACTTTGGATAAATTCAGGCATTGATTCCCGAATTTAAAGCCTTTCAGAAGAGGCTCTTGGGAGTCTAACTGATTAATAAGTAGCTGTCTTGTAAATTAGAGGAATTTTAACAAAAGGGAACATCAGACTGGGGGAGAATTTCGCTTGGCAAACTGTATTAGTTTAGATCTGTATATTGAATAATTTCTATCACTTCACAAAGCATGGGGAAAAAAGGTTACTCCTCTAATTCCACCAGAGATATTTATAAACACATATCAAAGGACTAACAGATGTTTTCTGTAGTGCGTCTAGGATTAACAAGCAAAAATATGTAATCATATTGAGAGAAAAGGTAGCTGGCTCTTTAAATCCAACAGTCACAAGGAATTATGAATCATATTTAACTATCAGATTTGCCCATAGAAGAGTCTGGACTAACCTTCTACACATCAGAAATCACAGTTACACCCATTCTCACCCTGACTAGCAGATAAGGAGTCTCAGTCACTAGAGAAGAACAATCCCACTTTCAGTTTCAGTGACTGCATTCCTCCTGCAACTCCTTCACCTCAATAAATCCATCTGCACCCAGTTCTGCTTCGTGACACAGCAGGCCACTCTCAGTGCTTGTCTTTCCAAAGGAGCTCATCCAGTCAGGGTGCTAGCATACAATTTTGTGGTAGCTCTATTTTAAATCTCATTTGCTGGATTAAAATAGTATGGAGTTAAAAGTAGTAATTATCAAACATCTGCACTTTCTCTAAAGCTGCAATGCTGTTTAACCAACGCACGAGCTATAAACTCACTGAATGGAGCTATTCCAGATTAGCTGTAGAACAGTTCGGGTGAATTCCCAGAGCAGTAACACATCCCATCCCTCAAGGTCACACTCTCAACACTGAAGTTCTGCAGCACAAGATTTTGAGTGATGTCAGTTAAGGCACAAAAGCAGGAAGCCCCATCCCTGGAAGCATCCAAGGCCAGGTTGGACAGGGCTCAGAGAAGGGTTTGGGCAGCAAGGTGTCCCTGCCCATGGCAGCGGAGTGGAACCAGATGAGCTTTAAGGTCCCTTTCAATCCAAACCAGTCTGTGATTCATCATTATGCTGAGTGACTGTCCCTAACAAAATGGCACTCAGTCCTCTTTTATTCGTCATGTTTCCTCTGGTGTCCAGCAAAGCTGAGAGATGCCAGTAAAACAGAATCCAGCAAATCCTAAACAGCATGGCCACGTGGGCTCTCGCTCCAGACCAGCCCCTCTGGCCACCTATGATGAGCAGGCTGCTTTGGCCATTTGGTATTTTTGTGATCTTGACTAATTCTCTGCACAAGAAAGGTCATTGAGAAATCAAAACAGTAACAGCAGATGTAAATTCAAGGCAGGCCTGACGTCCCACTAAAGTGTATTTCCAGCTCATAAACATTTCAACTTAATGCAGATTCCTCTGCAAGATCAATTTCTCGATCTTACAGCTGCAGAAGGAAGATATTCATGCTGCTGAAAAAACACAAATTACTTTTCTATTACATCTCCCAGTTAACTTTATCAGACCAACAGAAGCCCTATGAAGAAACTGCACATTAATGTCTGTCCTTACACATGTCAGCACAGAAATGCTGATGTTTGAAAGGCTGAAAATTCATTGTGAGGAAGGTATTTACATTTGTATTTTAAAGCATCGATTTGAGCACAGGATTTCTAATCTCTGCCCACTGCGCTCCCCCCGGCCACCTTGTGTAAACTTTAAATCTCCAATGCAGAAGCCTATTATTAGAGCTGGCTGAAAAAAAAATGTAAAGACTGAAAGCACATTGTTTGTTATGGAAAAGGTTAGAGCAAAGCCTTTCTAAAAACAAAACCTACTAAACCTTTGTCTGTTTCCGCTGAGAAAAGTCAAAACATTTCTGTGATGTTTTAGAAACTGTTTCTTTGAAAATGACGAACAGTGACTCAACATCAAAGTATGTCCTTCTAAACAGGATGTTTCGATTCAGAAGGGTGAAATAAGTACAACAAAACACTTAACGTGGCCTTGGTGCCCCAAAACAGAGCAAAGACTTCACCCAGCGTAAAATGAGCTGGGTTTTCACCTTCATCAACACAATCCTGCCTACAAAGCAAGGCAGGAACTGAAATAAACAACTCCAGAGCCTGGTGTAGCCAGCAGGACTGAGGAGCGCAGCCTCTCCCACCTCCCCAGTCCCAGGGCAGGAAAAACACAGGAAACCAGGAACTAGAGCACAAGTGACTGAAGCACCCAGAAAACACCTCCTGCACAACTCCCATCCCAAAAAAAAACAACAATAGGCAAAGCCAAACGAAGGGGGAAGGGCAGCAAAGAGCTCCCAGACTGGTTCAATAGATAGCCCAGACACGCCTGGAGTCATAACTCCGAGAGCCGGGCTGAGGACACGGTCCCGGGGCTCCAGCTGGGCCACGGAGCGATCGATGACCCTCGCCAGAAGACACGTCCTGGGCACGGCTGTACGGGCAGACAGGCAGGGAACAGTGCCTCCATCGCATCCGATTCTTCACTAAACATAACTGGAACACGCACTTTCCCGCAAACTTTCGGCCCGAAAGATTGTCGGCGTTTTGGACTGGTAGGAGCAGTGAGTAAACAGGCGGGTGGCTCAGGGAGCCCAGGGCCACAGGCAGCAGACACGGGGGTCGCACAGAACCCAGCAGCGGACGCGCTCTCCCTACTTTTCGGTCGGGAAAAGTAGCACGAAACTTTCTGTCAGCGAATGAGAGGCTCTCGCCTTCCAGCACAAGAGGGGATTAGCGGTGGGTGTCACAAAACGTGGCGGAGCCAGGCGGGGCCGCGGGCTGTTCCCGGCTGTTCGCGTACGGGATCAGCAGCGCGGCCGGGGCCGGAGGAGGGCTCGCTCCGGCTCCGGCGGCGCCGCCCGGACAGGCCGCGGCTCCNCCCTCGGACAGGGCTGCAACCCCTCACCCCGGGCAGGACAGACGGGATCCCCTCACCCCGGGCAGGACAGACGACATCCCCTCACCCCGGGCAGGACAGACGACATCCCCTCACCCCGGGCAGGGGCCCTTACCCCGGGCAGAACAAGCGGGAACCCCCTCGGACAGGGCTGCAACCCCTCACCCCGGGCAGGACAGACGGGATCCCCTCGCCCTGGGCAGTACAAGCGGGAACCCCCTCGGACAGGGCGGGATCCCCTCACCCCGAGCAGGACAGACGGGATCCCCTCACCCCGGGCAGGACAGACGGGATCCCCTCACCCCGGGCAGGACAGACGGGATCCCCTCACCCCGAGCAGGACAGACGGGATCCCCTCACCCCGAGCAGGACAGGGCTGCACCCCCTCACCCCGGGCAGGGCACCCTAAAAGCTCCCAGACCCCCGGAGCAGGGCCTGACACAGCTCTCTGTCCCCCTCGGGCAGCCTCCCTTCACAGCCCTCCACCGGCCGCCCCCACCCCAGGCTCTCAGGATGCTACTTTTGACATAGAATCAGTAAATTCGAAGTCAAAACCTGGCCTTGTCCTCCTAAGTGCAGCATGCTGAGGCTCTTTGGAGAGAGGAGAACTGACAGATGCAGAGATTTGAAGGAGACAGAGGGAAAGTTATAGCCGGGTTTCCCCTGGATTTGTGAATTGGTATTTTGTTTTGAAAATCTAGATATTTTCACCCTCCTGAAAGCTGCTGCTTTAGGAAAAGCCTTGTTTTCATCCAAATGTCTCTAATAACAAGGCTACAGGTGAGAGGAAATCTCTGCATACAAGCAGGGCAACAGGAGCCCCTCTAAGAAGAGAGGAATGTTTTGTGAACCCAGCCTTGACTTGAGAGGCAGGTCTGCAGGTGGAAGAACTTGTCTTTATGCGATAATTTGTTTCAAAGTTTTCTTTGAAAAGTCTCAGTGAGCCTGTTGCGAGAGAAAGAGATTGTTTTTACCCTGCAACAAATTACTCTGGGACTTTCTGTGGTGTGTTTTGAGATGTTTTTTAATACAAATCTTTCCACGGAACTTACTCTTGTACTGGATTGTAAAGACAACTGAATAAATTTAATACATTTCATGACTCATTTGCCAGCATTTCTGAGATACCTGAATCTACACGCTCCATTCTTTGCTATTAAGCAAAAAATAGAGAGATTGAGTAACCTACAAGGAAGATTTATTTAAGGTATGTAACTGAGTGAAGGGGCTGGCCCAAGGTCAGTGTCACAGCACAGGTGACCACACCGTGGTCAGGACTGTGACTTTCCTCAGACCCTGGTTCAATGGGATTTGCAGGGCTGTGTTTCCCATCTTTGCCATATTTCTACAAGCCTTTCCTGCAGGAACACCATGTCCTGCAGCAAATTTGATTGCATTTTTCCTTCCTGCAGGTTTAATCCAAGAAAGGGATCCAAGACAAGGAAGTAAGCAGAGTACTGTTGTTTTATAATCCAGGAAGAAAATAGGGATCAAGAGCCCAGCCTTGTCAATGAGTGAAATTAGTCAAAAGAAGGTGAGATCTGTAATTGAAATTAAACTGACTGAGATACAGGTTACTAAAGAAAATACAGGTCTTCAGTGCCTCAACAAACAGACTCTCCTATGGAAACACATGGCCAACAGATTTTTTAACTTCATTGTATTTCCTGCTTATACCAAACCATTAATATTTGGTGTCAATTGCACCAGGGATCCAAACTACTCATTTCTGTCTGTAGCATACTCTCAGTTGAAATGGAGTTTACACTTCAATAGCTTGCTTTCTTTCATTACTCCTTTTAATATCATGTCTTGGCCTCCTGTGGTGGCTTCCACATTCAGCAGTTCTGTGTGCCTCACATCCTTTCAGGACAAAATGTCAGATTTAAAAAAAAAAAATCCTTTTTAAACCTACAGATTCAAAAGTAGAAGGCCTGGAGTTGTAGAGAATCACATGTTCTGCACTGCACCACTGAAAAGTCAAGGCAGAAGCGGGAGATCAGCTGGCAGCTCTGTTGGTTCATGGAGCGAGTTAAAAGGCTCAGCAAACAAAACATAAAATTATGTAAAAATAGAGCCAGCTAGCTTGAGATTGGACTTTGTCTCTTAATTAACAGCTCTCTCTGAATCACAGCACTGGGCTCTGTCAACAAGACTAAAATGCAGGGGGTGTTCAGACAGGCACCCAGCAACAGTAGCTCACACCTCCCATCCAGCCCATGTCATTGGCAGCTTGAAATCGAATGCATTTTCTGAAATGAGTTACAAGCCTGCTGCTTGACCTCAGATCTTCCCGTGACAGTGTTTGTGGTTTCATAATCCCATTTCCCTGGTGGTTTTTTAAATGTTTTTCTTGCCCTTTTTCACTGGGTGAAAATGCAGGGTAGGCAGGGGAGAGGACAGGGAGAGGGAGGCGAGGTGGCCACACTGATACTGCGGGGAGGTTTGTGTAACACCAACAGAAGCTCCTACTCTCACCCACGGAGGATCCAGCTCCAGGCAGCCTGGCCCTGCTCCTCAGGTGTGTGCACAAGGGCAATCCCTGGCCAGGGCCACCTGGAGACACCGTGTGGGTGTAGCCACCGCAGGGGAGCTGCATTTTCCTGTAAATCCTGGGCTGGGTCTGTGTAGGAAGGGGCTTGTTTATGTAGCACCTGCTGGAGCTCCACTCCCAGTGTACACGAGGTCTAAATGATGTACCTCACCTGGAACTGAAATTTCTATTTCTGTAACAACATTGTTGAAGGGAAGTAGTTGCTCCATGCATCCATTTGTGCTCCATTTCAAAATGTTTGTTTGGTCTTTGTGGTTTTGTGTTTTGTTTTGTTATTCGCGAGAAGTAAACGTTGCACCTCTCACATCAGCTTCAAAGACAGGACTGCTGGGGCAGGAGATGGTGAGGGGATTGAGAGGGATGGGAGAAAGAAGGAAATAAAAAAGAATGAGGAAAAGATATAGAGTGTTGTAATGGCAAGCTGAAGGTCCTGCCACAGGGGCTGAATGGGCAGCAGGAACTGAAAGAGAAGAAAAACTTCAAATACTCCAAAGGAATCTCCAGGTTCAGATAGCAGCAGGCTGAGGCTCTCTGCAGGCTGATGTGCTGGGCAGTGGGGACAGCCCCAGGGCAGCCGTGCTGTGCCAGCAGCTGTGTGACTGAGCAGCAGTGACCGGGCACAGCCCTGTCACCTCCTGTCCCTGGGCTGCCAGCAGCGGGGCAGGAACTCACAGCCAGCGAGCTTTGCTCTAGGGGCCCCCCCAAAATGCAGCCTCCCTCGAGGACTAGGGGCTCTGATGAAGTCAGCAATATAGCAAAGAGATAAAAATGAGGGTCTGGCACCAGTATCTCATGTGTGCTATGGCACCAACTCCTGGGACTCCCCAGTGCTCATCTCAGCGTTCCAGGCAGCTGGGAGGCATCACCATTCCTTTTCAGGGCTTGGATACGTAAAGAACTAAGATTGTCTCGCAATATCCAACTGGGAATGCAGAGCCAGAAATCAAATTCCAGTGTCCTGGGGCAATGCATGGCTCAGGACTCTGGAAATGCTGGTAGCTGGTGCTTCTGGGGGGATTGCACGCACACAGCCTCAGCTGTGACCACAGCACCTACTTCGGTGAAACAAGCCTCAGTCAGGAGGAGAAGGGACTTACCAGCACACCTGCAGCTGCACTGGAGCTCCCTGGCACCGCTGGCAGCGCAGGGATCAGACCCAGCTGATGCTGCAGTGCCTCTGGGGTCAGCACTGGTTCTGTGGGAGCTGCAGCCACAGAGCCAGGGCTGTGCTCCCCATCACGGCCACCCTCTCCACAGAAAACTGTCTGCTAGAAACATGTCCTGGTTCATAATCACTGGGTCCGAAGTGAAACACTCTTCCTGCACTATCAAATGCTCCTGGGCCCTCCAGAAAGAGAAGCAATCTTTAACACCAGCATGGCCAGGAACAGAGGGGCTGCAGCACGGGGCAGCATCCCCCTGTACGAACACTACAGCACATGCCTGTGCTGCCTGAAAAAAGCAGGGGATGGAATGAGGGGAAATTATGGCATCCCAAAAGGCTCAGCATGAACTGGGTTCACTGGTTGCTGTTCCTAGCCCGAGTAGTTTGCATTCACCTCCAGGTTTGCACAGCCTTTGTGTAATAAACTGTCATAGCCCCTGAGAAGGGAACATTCAAAAAAGTGCCCCGAGGCAATGCATAGCAGAAGCCTGAGAATCCTCCTGCATGAGTCACTGACCTCCACACACTGCATCTATTTCAGCCTTTAATTAATAAGGTTTTACATTTCTATGGCATTTTCCATCTGGAAAGATCCGAAAACGTTGTAAAGACTAAGTACGGGTGTACAGCACCATTGAAGTGTGGTTCCTGTAGAGGTGGGACTGTAGAGAGCTTCGCCAAGGGCACAGAGGAAAAAGGTTCTTAATTTTAAATGCAGCCTCTGTTACGTCACTGAGTGTTTCATATCTGTGGAGATCAGACAAAAAGATTTTAGTTTCTAAGGCACTGCTTGAGTAAATAACATTGTAGATGGCTTTTGTTATGCAGGGAGGATGCAGTGCAAAACAAGTACTGGGTGATTTTAATTTGGGGTGTTAAAGGGTCACAAGCTACAAATTTAAACCATCATTGGATCAAGGCTTTCCTGCCTCCTGGTAATTGATTCCCAAATGTTAGACACAAAGCAGAAGCCAGTGGAGGAAACAAATCCCACACTGACAGCACCTTACCCTGTATCCGGAACACGGAATCCTTGCTCATTCCCTGAAAGCTCAGCAGCATCGTGTGAGGCTTCAGCAAGGTCAAAACCAGCCCCAAGCAGCAAGTGGGGCAATGGAGAAAACCAGGAGGAAAGAGCCCTCCTGTCCCAAGGCTGACACAGCCCCGGAGGGGAACCAGGGCTTTGCTGAACCAGCACAAATCCCTTCATTTTTATTTCTAAAGATTAAACGAGTCCAATCACTCTGCTCAGCAGATGAGCAGGGCCTGGCTTACATGAGGGCAACCAAAAGGACTGTCAGCCACAGCTGGCATCCTTCTCACTAAGAACTTGGCCAAAGTGGGCTGGGAGCACTTGACCACAAAGAGTTTTCAAAGGAATGTCAAATTTCTCTTTTTCCCAGTGTGATTCTAAACTATTTTTATCTACCTCTTTCTGGAATAGAGACACGGGCATTGCCACGACTAGTCGTAAACTTTGATTACTTCCCGAGGAGAAATTGCAGGGAAATTACAGGCTAGTGCACTCTTTTTATGTCTCTCCTGCTCCGGGCATGTCAGCGCTGCTGCATTCCAGCCTACCCCCAACACATTCCTCCCTGCGAGTGCCGTCCCCTCCCCGCCCGCTGATGGACATTAATGACCTCCCTCCGTAATTAACACATTGAGCACCGCTGGCAGCACGAGGTGAGTCCCCAGTGCCGGAAAAACACCTCAGTGTGCAGGGTGGGGTCAGTCCCGACTCCCCCTCCATCCCAGCGTGCCCCTTGGCACCTTGCTGTACCTGAGCTGTACCTGAGCTGCACCTGATCTACACCTGATCTACACCTGAGGTGCACCTGAGCCGCACCTGTGCTGCCCCTGCGCTGCACCTGCACTGCACCTGAGCTGATCCTGCACTGCACCTGCACTGCACCTGCACTGCACCTGTGCTACACCTGCACTGCACCTGAGCTGCACCTGAGCTGCACCTGCCCCACGCCTGCCCCCTCTGCCAGGGTGAGTAGGGCAGTGGGGGCACTCGGAGCCTGGGGCTGCCCCATTCCTGGTGCTCCCTTCCCTGTGTGCTCCCAAACTCACACATGCCGTGTGGAGCTCCACGCTGCTCCGCCAGGCACACAAAGCTGTGTGGAGAAACTCCCTAAATCCTTCACGTTTCAGCATTTATGTGGAGGTGGCAGCAGCAGATTTTAATTATCCCTCTCCCATAAAGGCAAACACCTACAAGTAGTTTCTATGCTGCTGTAGGATCAGGGAAACTGAGGCAGAACAGATGAGTGCTCCAACCCCTGCAGATCCTGGCCCAAGCTCATCTCCCTGCCATTCCCAGTCTGAGCACTGTCTGCAGTGCACCAGAGCTCCCTGAGCCTGGAAATCCCACACCCACGTGGCTTTTTAGGCATGGAAACTTCATCCAAAGGGAGAAATTCTGTCGTCAAGGTGAAAAGCATTGCTACTGAAATGTGATCAAAGAGAGAGTTATCAACTTGAGTGTACTCAGGAGTTCCTGCTCCAGACAGAATTATCAACGAGAAACCAATCTTATAAGGTAGCTGCTATTGATAGGGAAATAAAAGGAATACAGTTCTTACCAGACAGACCTAAGCTGCTCCAAATTGCTGTCAGCTTGAAATATCTTGCTGGTAATTTGTTTCCAAATTCTTGCTCCCTAAATTTGATTTGTTGCTGTACAGTGGATGATCTATTCTACACAGCACCTCAAAGAGCATTCCCGTTGTCCTCTCCCTGATTGTTTGTGAGCTATCACTTCTAGGAGTTGGCAGCATTTCTTATATAAAGGGACAACATTGCTTGAAAAGCAGACTTTTGTCTGAGGCTGTGGTATCTGCTGCCCTTACAAATAGCAGCTGAGATTACTGGGAGGAAAGTCATCAAGGAAAAAACACTTTTCCTCCCCACCTTTGAGCTTGTCCACATGGACAAGTGGCCACTGTGTGTGTCTGTACCCTGGGGCAGGGGAAGGATGGGACAGCATTTTCTAACAAGACCTGAATAAATCCTTTCACCAGGATCCCTTTTAACCAGGATAAAATCCCACCTCCTGTGGTATTGTAGCAAGAGCAGGAACATCACACCCAGCAACTTTTTTCTGCTGATCTCTGCTCTTTCTTAAGTGAGGGAGGAAGAGAGAACTCTGACTTATGAAGCATCCTGCTGGGTTCAGTGATGTCTCCTACACGGTGTGTCTGGGGCTTTCCCAGGCCTCTGAGCATTGCCCTCAGCTCTCCAGAGGATTTATTTCTGCACTCTTGACACGGAGGCAGAAATGTGAAACTCCCTCTCACCTCTCCGTCAGGATCTGTCCAGCCTGAGTGTGGATGACAATGAGGAGAGCAGAAGCCCTGCCCTGGCTTTCTCTTTCAAGAACATAAATGTATCTTCTCTTGTCCTTTCTCTGCTTAACCCACTCTGTCCATTGTTTTAAGCAAATTCAAGGAAATTCTAGTTTGGGGACGAGGAGCTGCCTCAGCTTATTTACAAGGTTTCAAGGCGTGGGCAGAACAGAGAGACTTGGCTTCCCAGAAATAAAGGCTCTCACTCATCTTCTGTATATGGCCACATTAGATAAAAAGAAGGAAGGTATTTCTGGATCTTTCTGGGAACGTATGGGCAATTTTAACATATTTCTGCTCTGCAGCTCTTTGGCAGTACCCCACTGCTGTGGGTAGGGCACTGCAAGCACCATGTCAGGCACTTCAGGTCACCCCAAGAGCTCGTGCTGCACCTTGGACAGGTCTTGGTGCTACCCAGAGCATGGAGAGAACTGGAGAGTTGGGAGCTGGTGGAAGGATTTCACTCTACCCACGTAGGCACTGGAAAATTAATAATTGTTGCACATGCTTGAGAGCAGCACAAAACACAGTGCTAATTCAGCTGGTTGTAATTCTGCCACACAGCTTACCCTGACATTGCATCAGGGAAAGCTCCACTTAAGCAATTGTAACATCACTGAAAGGATGGAATTAAGAAAAAAGGAGAAGGAACATAAACCTCCCACTATTGTTATTTTCAGAAAGCAATAACAGGAAGAGCCAGTTAAAAGGCCTTGAGGCTCTGAGCTGTTATTCCTCCCTGGAAACCAGCCACGTAATAGACAGAAAAACGCTGAACTGTGTGCGGGGGCTGCTCCGAGCCCACCACAGGGATGTGGGCTCATTCCTGGGGCACATGAGCCCATTCCCATGGGCAGCTCCCTACACAGGGCTCCCTCCCCACCCCAGCTGGGGCCACCCTGGGCATTTCCTCTGCTCTGGGATGTCCTGGGCAGACAATCCTGCTGTTGTGCCAGAGCAGATCTCCTGACTGCAGGGCTGGGACACCTCTGGCTCCCCACACACAGCTATTGCAGCAGGGCTGCTCAGGAAGCAGCAATTTTTCCTCTTTGCAGGAGCGGGCTGAGCCTTTCTGAGGTGACCGAATGCAGGTGTCAGCCAGGCAGGAGCAGCACAAATCAATCTCTCACTGCTTAAAAATATATCTGTATACTAGATCTGAACCCTTTGCTCCAGAGTCTTGTGGCAGAAATGGAGTTTTAAAATGCTCAATTATTTATAGCTGAAATGCTGGCAAAAAAAATAACCTCATTTGTCGTGCTGGAGCAGAACGTGCTGGTCCCCATCACCCTCTGCTTGCACAATGCCCGAGAGTCTTGAGATCTGGACAGGGGGATGAGGAGCAAGTAGTGCTTGAAAGCAGGGTGCCAGCATTCCAATAGAGCCAGTTCGCTCAGGGACATGGTCAAACCCAAATCATGACGAGCCTGAGGTGTACCAACTCTTGCTTTCATGTCTGGCTGTTAATTATCACCAATTATTAAGGTAGGCTGGGTGGCTCCTTAAGTACAGGCTTCTCCTGGCAGGCCAGGGGGAAAGGACAGGTTTTGCCCACCTGCAGATGCTGTGTCAAAGGGATGCTTTGGAGAATTAACAGCTTTTAGGAAGGAACCTGTGGGAGTTGGTCCAGAGGAGGACTGTCTGCCTAAACTTGCTTTTGTTCTTCTCTGCCTGTGTTTTGGAAGAGCTGCTGCTTGCCAAGGGCCTGGCATAGGGAGGGGGCAGGTCCCTGCCTGGTGAAGGAAGACACCACAACCTGCAGTCACACATGGCAGAGCAAAAATGAGACACCAGAGGATGTAAAGACATCAAGTGTCACATGGCTTCTGGATGGGGATTGGAATAATTCTCCATGGCTTTAGAAGAGAATTGAATCATTACAGCTGTCTAGAGCCTTTCTCCCTTTCTGAGCTGCTCACTGGAGCCCAGTGCTCATGGACAGGCAGCAGCATGGGGACAATGAGGTGGAGGGATGGTTTGGAGCCCAATTAAATACCCTCACTAGTGTGATTTTGTCAGAAGGAGAGAACCACCACCCTTTCTCCCTGCTCCCTCCTGGGGAACAGACTTCATTCTCCCTGTCCTGGAGAACATGGGCATCAGGAGGGGTCTGAAACCCCAGTGCCTTGCCCTCGGCTGCTTTGTGGTGCATTGCACTGAGCATGGTGAAAAACCTCAGGGATGATGAGGAAAGTGCCTGTAACCATGGCAATGCTCTGCAGCCACCTTCTTCCCCCCTGTAGCCCTGGCCAGAGGGCCTGGAGCCATCCTGTGCCCTGAAGCAAGCAGGAACTGCTCCTGCCACCTGCATTGTCCAGGGGTAAAGCATAAAGGAAACAAGCCCTGGTAACTTGCAGCTGGTCACACCACCTGGACCACCAGCCAGGTGCCAGCATCTGCCAGGGGTTAATGACAAAGGTGCCATTAGAGGATGTGCAGGAAAGGCCCTTTTGCTCTGAGACAAGCCAAGGCCTGTCCCTGGGAGCATCACCTGTCTCTGAGGCCTCTGTTCCTTCTTTCAGGCACGTGGGAGGTTTTGGGCCACAGCATGCAGTGAAACCAGTAAAAGTTACAGTATTTGGCTGCTGAGGAATTGTGGTTTGGTCTTCAATTAGGATAAAGCTGTTTAATTCCTTCCCACCTCAGCACTACCTTCCTGCACAGCCCCGTTAGAGAGGCTGGCACACAGAATGTTAGGGATTAATGAGACAGGTGATTAAATACAGTTCTGATTACATCCAGTCCCAGGAGGATGGATGTGGAACTGCCCTGCTGTGAATTAAGTAATAAAGTGGGAAAAAGAAGAAAACATAGCAGGGCAGTGGTTTTATTTCATTAACACCCTCATGCCTGACGGTGCTGGCACCTCTGCCCAGTGCAGGTGTGATTGCAATGTGATTTTGGGACCCTGGGCACACCTGGCCCTCAGCCAGAGCCAGGGACAGGTGCTTGTGCAAGGACCAGCAGCAGGATCAGGATGGAGAAACGGGGAAAAGCACGGCTGTGCACTGAACTACTGCCACTTCCTTGTGCTGATATTCGGAATGAAAATCCCATCTGTGCCACACTTTTGCTCCCAGCATCTCCTCCGACCACTGCAGCTGATCCCTGGGGATGGTGCAACAGGTACCTTGCGGGGCAGAGCAGCAGCACGTATTTGTAGGACAGGCAGATTCCCACAGTACCTCCATACCTTTGCAGAAGCTATTCAAAATCCTGTGGAAGTCTGAAATAGGGGAGTTGGGAAAAGCAATAGTAAAGACCTTCCAGTGAGAGCACTTCAAATCCATGCTCTCCAAGGGCAGTGGCAGCCAACACCATTATCCCCTCCTTACAGACAGGAAAACCAAGGAAATTATTTGCCTTGTGTAACCCAGAAGTGCTGAGAATGCAGCAAGATCCCAGAGCAGGGAAATTTCAGTCCCTGGACCATAAGTGAG